GAGGGTGTCTGTTGCTCATTGGTTCCAGTTAGTGTTAGAGGTAAGAGTTGGGTAAGGATTAGGAGTAAAACTTGGCCTGGCTTTTAGAAATCTACTTGATTTCCTTTTCATATGGAGGTTCTGTTACATTTATTTTCTCTTTTTACTTTGTATTTTTGTTGTTGTTGCTACTCTATCTCTGGTTCATTATTTTTAGTCTTACAGGACTTAGCTGGAGTCCTAGTGTGGCGCTGTGGGTTAATGCGCTGGCCTGCAATATAGGTTTGAACCACAACGTTGGTGATTCACACCCACCAGTCGCACCTCAGAAACCCAATTACAGGGTCACTATGGGTCGAACAGACTCGACAGCACTTAACAACAACAACCGGACTTAGTTGTAGGTTTTACTTTTAACACATTCTATATCTGGGTTAAATTCAATCACATATAAGAGATTCCTCTTGCTAGTCCAACATAAGCTTCTCTGAATTTTTTTGTTCTTTATTCTGGTTCTTCTTCTAGTAGAGGAATAGTGAGAGATTCTTCTTCAAGTGTAGTAATTTGGCTTGCTATTGATTCAATTCTACATCTTTGCCCTTTCAGTATATATCTATTTCTGAAGTCTCACTGTTAATCTTCTGACTTTCTAATTGCTGTTTTTGTATGGTTCCCTTTATTTTGTGAATTTTATTCCTTGAATATTTGTATAGCTTTGTATATGTTTTCCTTTATTTGACTTGCACTTTTCTCAATGATTTTCTCAACTGGTTGATGGTGCCTAAAGAGTATTCTTTGGAATTCCTCATCAAGTTTCTAGTATTGTATATTTGATTCTTTATTTTGGTCACTATTTGAAGTAAGTACTCTGTCTTGTTTCTTCATGCAATCTGAAATAGTCTGTTGTCTCTGAGACATTGTGGTTTCATATTTATATTTAATTGATGATTGTATATTGATGTGTTCATATGACCAAGATGTGTGGATATGATCAAGTGTGGATCATGTATGGTTATGATCAAAACTGGAAAATGTGAACAAGGTTTTCCATTCACTTTTTATGTGGCATAGTTCAAGGGCAGGTTCATGAGCCTCTAGACCTCAAAACAAGAGAGAACTGCACCCCACTTGCCACCAAATCAAGAGCTCTAGACCTCAAAACAAGAGAGAACTGCACCCCACTTGCCACCAAACTCCAGCCAGGTATAATGACTATATGTTAATAAGTTCTGACTTGCACTAAAAATCAAATGACCTAATAAACTGTGACCCAAAAGATAGTAATTTTATTTTTGCTGTTAAATTCTCTAAGTGCCTAATAACATACCTTTGTAGAATGCCATTTTCCTGGGGTATTACACCATTGATAGCTGCCTGCAAACAAAAACAAAGAAGGCCATTTAAAAGAACAGAAAAATGTTTAGTACTGTAAAGGCAAAGAAAATTATGTTTCCTCAAGATATAAAATATTCTCTATTAACTATTACTATAGACTATTCATCTGTCAATCTGTAACACATAGTGGTGGTTTGTATGTTGCTGTGATGTTGGAAGCCATGCCACCAGTTTTTGAATGCTGGCAGGGTCACCCATGGCGGACAAGTTTCAGCTGAGCTTCCAGATTAAAACAAGGAAGGAAAGACAGGCTATTTCTGAATGTTTAGCCACTGAAAACCTTATGAATAGTAGTGAATCACTGTCAGACAGAATCAGAATATGAAATACTGAAACATGATGAACAGCACAACATATTGTCAGATACAGTGTCAGAAGATAAGCCCCTCAGGTTGGAAGGCACTCAAAATACAACTGGGGAAGATATGCCTCCTCAAAGTACAGTTGATGGTGATGACATAAATGGAATTGCTTTCAGGAACTACATTTTCTTATGGGGAAAACTCAAACTGAGAAGGCACAGCTGCAAACATCCATTAATAAGTAGAGCATAGAATATATAAAGTATGACTCTAGGAAAATTAAAAGTTGTCAAAAATGGAATGGTATGCATAAACATCGATATCCTAGAATTAGTGAACTGAAATGAACTGCTATTGGCCCTTTTGAATCAATTGTTTACTATGACAGGTATGAAGTATAATGCTGTATGTAATAGGATAATATCCATATGCCTAGGATAACCACTATTATTCAAATTTAAGCACTGATCACTAAAGACAATAGTGATGAAATTGAGGAATTCTACCAACATATTTAGTCTGAAATTGAGCAAACATGAAATCAAGATGCACTGATGATTACTGATGATTGGAATGCAAAGGTTGGAAACAAAGAAGAATGATCAATAGTTGGAAACTATGGCCTTGGTGACAGAAATGCTGGCAATAGCATGATGGAATTTTGAAGACCAGTGACTTCTTCATTGCAAGTATCTTTTTTAAACAGCATAAAAGACAATTATACACATGGACCTCACCAAATGGAATACACAAAATCAAATTGACTCCATCTGTGAACAGAGATGGTGGGAAAGCTCCACATTATATGCCAAAACAAGGCCAAGGGCAGACTGTTGAACAGACCATCAATTGCTCATATGCAAGTTCAGGCTGAAGCTGAAGAAAATTAAAACAAATCTATGAGAGCCAAAGTATGACTGTAAACATATCCCACCTGAATTTAGAGATCATCTCAAGAACAGATTTGATGTATTAGACACCAATGACTGAAAAACAGAAGAGCTGTGGGATGACATCAAGAACATCATAAAGGAAGAAAGTAAAAAGTCATTAAGAAGGAAAAAAGGAAAAACCAGATTGGAACTCAGAAGAGACTCTGAAACTTGCTCTCTAGTGTAGAGCTGTTCCAGCAAATTGAAGAAATGAGAAGGTAAAGAGCTAAACAGAAAATTTCTAAGGTCAGATTGAGAAGACAAAGTCAAATATTATAATAAGAAGTGAAAAGACCTACCTATAGAAAACCGAGAGAAAAGCATGCTCAGCATTTCAAAGGCTGGGAAAAAAATGTACCCTCGACTTGCAATACTAAAGGATTCTATGAGTAAAATATTCAGTGTTGCAGAAAGCATCCAAAGAAGTTAGTAGAAATCCACAGAGCCACTGTACCAGAAAGAAATGGTTGATGTTCAAACATTTAGATAGTTAGCATATGATCCAAAGCCTATAGTACTGAAGGAAGAAGACGTCAAATGTGCACTGAAGGCACTGACAAAGGACAAGGCTCCAAGAACTGGTGGAATTCAAATTGAAATTGTTCAATAAATGATGTAGCACTGGTGACACTCACTCATCTATGCCAAGAAATTTGGAAGACAGCTACATGGCCAACTGAGTTGAAGAGATTCATATTTGTGCCCATTCCAAAGAGAGGTGGCCAAACAGAATGAGGAAATCATTGGACAATTATCACCAATGTCACACGCAAGTAAAATGTTGCGAAAAATAATTTAAAAATGGCTGCAACAATACAAAGACAGGCACTGTGAGAGATTCAAGCAGGATTAAGAGGAGGACATGGAATGAAGGATATCATTGCTAATGTCAGACAGATTTTAGCTGAACACAGAATACCAGAAAAATGCTTTCAAATGCTTTATTGACTATACAAAGGTTTTCAACTGTGTGGATCATAACCAGTTAGGGACTACAATGCAGAGAATGAGTATTCCAGAACACTTAATTGTGCTCAAGTGGATCCTGGACATAGACCAAAAGGCAGTCGTTTGAACAGAACAAGGGGGCATTGAATGGTTTAAAATCAGAAAAGGTATGTGCAAGTGTTGTATTCTTAAACCATAATTATTCCATCTGTATCTGAGAAAATAATCCAAGAAGCCAGATTATATAAAGAAGAATATGGCATCAGGATTGGAGGAAAGCTCATTAACAACCTGAGATATGCAGATGATACAACCTTGCTTGCTGAAAGCAAAAAGAACTTAAAATATTTATTGATGAAGCTCAAAGATCATAGCCTTTGTTATGGCAGTACATGGTATCTCAATGTAAAGAAAACAAAAATTTTCACCCCTGGACCAATAAATTGTTGTTGTGTACTATGGAGTCGGTTTCGACTCATAGTGACCCTGTACAGGGTTTCCAAGGCTGTAAATCTTTACGGGAGCAGAAAGCCTCATCTTTCTCCAGCAGAAAAGCTGGTAGTTTCAAACTGCTGACCCTGAGGTTAACAGCCCGATTTGTAACCACTATGCTTACCAGAGCTCCTTGGAAATCCTATACAGGGTCGCTATGGGTTGGAATTGACTCGATGGACCAATAAATAACATCATGATAAATAAAGACTCAATTGTCAAAGACTTCGTCTTGCTTGACTCCACTATCAATACTCATGGAAGCAGCAGTCAAGAAATCAAATTATGTGTGGCATTAGACAAATCTGCTGCAGAAGACCTCTTTAAAGTGTTGTAAAGCAAAGATGTCAGTTTGAGTATTGAAGTGCACCTGACATAAGCCATGGTATTTCAATAGCCTCATAAGCATGTGAAAATTGGACAGTGAATAAGGAAGATCACAGAAGAATTGATGCATTTGAGTTATGAGAAGAATATTAAAGTTGCCATGCACTGCCAGAAGAGCAAACAAATCTGAAGTAGAAGAAGTACACCCAGAATGATTCTTAAAGCCATTCATCTCTCTTACTTTGGACACATTATCAAGAGGTATCAAGAGGTATCAATCCTAAAGTGGAGAGCCAATGAAAAAAGTGAGACCTCCCAATGAGATGGATTGGTACTGTGGCAGTAGTAGGCTCAATCATCGCAGCAATTATGAAGATGGCACAGAACCTGGTGGTGTTTCATTCTGTTGTACACAAGAGTTGCTATGGGTCAGAATCATTTCGACGGCTCTTAACAACAACAACATATATCTCAATAATACAACCATATTTTAGGAGATTAAATGTATTTGGCATTTAATTCCTCCAAACTTTAAGTCATTAAAAGCTTAATTTACAGTCCTCATTGATATAAATCACCCTAAAAAACAATGTTTAAAGATGTTATTGTCATTGTTAAGTGTCGTCGAGTGTGTCCCAACTCATAGAGACCCTGTATAGGGTTTCTGAGGAGTGGCTGGTGGGTTTAAGCCACTGACCTTGCATTTCAAACCAACCTTGTGGCCCAGCACTTATCCTACAGTGCCAAACCAGGACTCCTTAAGGATGTTGTTGTTGTTGTTAAATGCCGTTGAGTCAATTCTGACCCATAGTGACACTGTATAGGGTTTCCAAGGAGCAGCTGGTGAGCTTGAACCACTGACCTTGCAGTTCAAAGACTTTGCAGTCTGACGCATTAGTCCACAGTGCCACACCAGAACTGGGAGGAAAGTTTTATATCAAAAATGAAAACCTCTATGATAAAGCAAAAATCAGCATAAGAATTAAATTCATTCTTGAATGTTCAAATCATTATTCTTAAAGATAACAATTTGAAGGAAAGAATACTGAAGAAAAAATTATGTGATAAGCAAGACATCACAACTATACCATGTTATAAAAGGGAGGAAGGAACATCACCAGAAAAGTTTCCTCATATAAAATATTCTTGAAGTTCATATAAACAAACATGCAAACAAGTACTCAAAATACCATACAGATGCAACATGGATATCTTTGAAGGCTACTAAGCAAGCAAACGCTTGCTGAACAAATAATTCAAAAAGCTATACTATATAAAGGAGAGTATAGCATCAGGACTGGAGTAAGCTTAACAACCTATGATATGCAGATGGAACAATTTTGTTTGCAGAAAGCTAACAGGACTTAATTCACTTACTGATGAAGATCAAATAATACAGCTTTCAATGTGGATTTTACCTTAACATAAAAAAAAAAAAAAATTTGTCACAACTGGAACCAATAAGCTACATATTAAATTAAAAGACTGAAATTACCAAAGATTTCATTTTACTTGGATCCACAAACAATTCCCATGTAAGCAGCTATTAGGAAATCGAACTTGCAGTAGGCAAATCTGCTACAAAAGATTTCTTGAAAGTGTTCATTGTCAAAGTGACATTTTAGCTTTTTAAGGAGTATGCCTGATCTGTGCCACGGTATATTTAATCACCTCATATGCATGAGGGAAAGATGAAGCTATCTGTTCCTGTAAATATTTCATCTCAGAAACCCTAAGGAACAATCAATTCTTCTCAATCTGATACAGTCACTATGAGTGACAATATGACTGAATAGCCAGGAGTTGGTCAAGTGCATGGAAAAGTTGGACAGTGAATAAAGAAGATTAAGGAGAACTGATGACTTTGAATTATAGCGTTGACTAAGAATACTAGTTATATCATTGGGGTTCCGTGAATTACTTGATACGACTCTTCTCTTCATAGTCTTTATAATTCCTATCAAAAGACAGGATAGAA